CTTTTCTCATAATCTTATGCATGATGAAATCAAATACTATATATCAAGAATTAGCTTTTTGAACCTAGAAAACTGCTGGTAGGTTGAGGGGTTTGCCTAACAGACCCAAGGGAGAGGTTAATGCTAATTTGAGCATTTAAAAATGCACTTAGCAATATAAAGGCTTTCTGGGATTGAAGACATTACTTTCTATAGAATCAATCCTCAATTTTGGGAGGGGTGTGTGTGTGTGGGGGGGGGGTGTTAAACTCTAACTATGGTTAAAATATCCCTTGGAATTCAATCTGAGTGTATCGCCATGCAAGTCTTGAGTCTTCAAACCAGTATCTGCTTAAAATTCTGGTGAAGAGCAGTAAAGTATAACTGAAAACTCTGTTCAGCAACACTGTCCTTAACCTTTTATGTAGCACTTGGGGAAAGTGTTGAGAGTAATTTTTATGTCTCTTGCTTATGAGTAGCAAAATATCTGGTTTCAGGGGAGTGTGTTTGGGAGAGGTAGGGGTGTGGGAGGTAGAGACTGACTTGGCTAACACATAATGCAGAAGTAGAAGAGACCATGCATTGGGTAGGGACGTTCTAGAATAGGACTGTTCAGCTGTGGCTCATGGGTTGTGTGCAACCCATGAAGGGTTGAACTGCAGCCCATGGGCTCTTCCTTCCCTCCACTCTCTGCATTATAGCTGCTTCTGCTACAGCCTCTGGGCTCTTCCTCCCTCCTTTGCCTTGTCCTTCCTGTTTCTGCCCCTGGGGCAGGATGGCAAGTCCTGGGGAGCCTGGAGCTTGGGGATTCAAGTGGCCCCACATGGTGGGGGAGACTGCATGGCTGCAGGAGCTCAAGGCGGCTTGTGCAGTGGGGGAGGGAGTGCTAGGTAGGGGAGGTACTGGGGCGATTGTGGGGTAGGAGCATGGAGGAGACTTCATGGTGGTGGGCGAGCTGACATGGGTGGTGGGAGCCTGTGCTGCAGTGGCAGCTCAAGGTAGCTTGTCTTAGTGGGGAGGGTGTTGGGGCAGGGAAGGAGTGCAGGGGATCCTGCATGTGTGAGTTTGGGGGCAAAGAAGAGGGCCTGGCTCAGGAGCCTGTATACTATGGTCTGAGGCAGATGTAGTCCCTGCCGTATGTGGACCCTGGCTGCTAAGAAGTTGGACAGCCCTGTTCTAAAAGAAAGCAACTGCTGCCTTTCTGCTTTTAGCTTAGAGATGAGAAGTCTTAACGTTGTATCTACTGGCCAGAAGCTGAGATGAAAGAGTTTACTATGCCTGACCTTCACCTGAAATCAGTTGAAAACTCTTGGCATCTGTTACCTTGGCTTCTAGGAGAAGCCTGGAGGGTGAGAGAGAGAGACCCTTGTACCACTACCCTGATCCAGGGCTACCTTGCACCTTCTCTCTCACTAGCTATTGTTTTAGTCCTCCAGGCATAGAGAAAAAGAAATGGTGAGTATTTTGTAGCTTTGAATTTGGAGTAAACATTTTGGAAGCTACAGGCTAAGAAAAGAGGAGGGCTAAGATTTTTCCATAATATTAATCAGTTTTGTTGCTCTGTTCCCTTTGTTTGTCATTTGACTGACCTTTTTGCTATTCCAAAAACAGGTGTTTTCTTTTCTTTTTCATTCTTTTAAAGAATTCATTAACCTGCAACTATATAAAATCAAATAAACAGTTGAACTGCTTATTTTATTGCATAAATAAAAAGTATTATTGCATGAATTCTTCATTAAATATAAGTTTTTCAAAATCTGACCTATTGAATTTGAAGCTTAGTAATGGCAGATGGCTTGGCCCGTG